TCATTTCTCAGTTACTTCTGTGTAAATATATGTACTGAACAAAATATCATGAGTGGCACTGCTGGTGGGTGCCTATGTTTATTCTAGATCAGAAATATATTACATTGAGAATTTTTTCATATCTAGTCTACATGTATATTCTACATGTCTTTTGTGAACGATCTGAGCAGGATAGGCAGAACGGACTGCAGCCTTTTCCACACTCGAGGCAGAAAAAGTTTCATACTGAATAGGAAGCCACACAGGACTATTAGGTGCTGTTAAGTTTAGCAAATTGCTGACAATTTTCAGGTCATAGTATCAGTTTTGGATGTAGGTAGAATTTAGACACCTGGATTCTACTGAAAGTACTTGAGTGTTTATTTAGTTCCAAGTACTTTCTTTGAGGAAGTTTGAGACCTGCTCAGTTCTCAGGCATGGAACAAGGACTTGAGCAGTGAGTGAGCTCTAAGGAACTGACATGTTCTCTAAGGAGAAGCATAAGGACTCATACTTGGAGTGTGGCAAAACAAGGAGAAACACAGAGCTGATACTTGTGTATAAAAATCTCAGGATCAACAAAAAGGCCCACTTACTTGCATACAAACTCTAAATCCTCATCAATTTAATGGAAGCCTGGAATACTCGTGAACTGTTGGCTAAGATACAGACTGGAAAAGTTCCCCAAAAAGTGTTTCATTACTTGTGTGGGTGTGGGGAAAGTGTTATAATTCATCAACTGTATCTGAGTAGTTATGTTACTTTATCACTTTCTAAGCCAAAGAACTATTTTTAAATTGAATTAAAAATTGCTACTTATGCAGTTATCCAGTGGATACTCTCCAAAACGACATTCCCGTAGCTATCTTGGGTCAGAACAACATGATGAATCAGCATGCAAACACCACCAGTTCTAATACCGTTAATTCCCTTTATTTGTTCATCCCCCCACTAGGATGTGGTTTGTATCCATCCCTCAAAATTTACTCCTAATGTCTGCTCACTCTTAAACATAAAGAATGTAAAGGAATCTAAATATGACATAATTTATTTAATTCAGAATCAGAAAAGTGGAGCTTTAAGGGCAAAAAACCAAAACAAAATGCACACTAATAAGAAAGGCTTAAAGGAGACTACTGTTCACTGAGACCCAATTCTGCTGCCAAAATCTTTGTAGCTCCTACCTTTCTACAGAGCTACTCCTCATATCATGGATGGCAGGAATAGCAAAGGTAATATATTGACTGCCTGAGTATCAAGCTGTCTTGCCTGTTTAATCCTCACGAAATCTGAAAAGGGAGAAAGTCTTTTCTCTCCGTCATGTATATTTTAGTTCTGACAGACCTGCCTGTAAGCAGATAGCCTTCTTCCAAAGTGGGGGCTTAAATAAGACAGAGATGCCTAAAAAGTAACGTGTTCTTCAGAGGTCACTCTGATAAAGATCTGTGAAGGTTTTCACATTGTGAAACGAAAGGGAAGATATGACCTAAAAAGCGCATAATAGTCCAAATCTTGAATCTCCACAAATTTAGACCTTTTCAACCTAGCTTCTTCCATGTGCACCCTGCACAAAGTTAGAGATCCCAATAATAGCACACTAACTTCGACTTTGCACCCCTAACATTTACACAACTTAGACGAGAAACAATTTAAACAGTATAATAAGTGCTTGATTTGTCTAATTAGGAAAAAAACAAAAGGCTTTCCAACAGAATGAAAGCAGTCCATTGGTAGATTCCAGGCTAATCTGCATCTTTCAGAGCTTTCCAACTGATAGATTCAGCTAAAAAACACATCTGCCACTAAGGGCTCTGCATCAAAACATCCCTGTGAGCAATAGGCCTGCCAGCTGCTGGCATTTCAGGGCTCTCAGTGGCATAAGCTGAGTAGCACATATTTGTGCAAGGGAAACAAATCAAAAAGTCTTTTCAATTTACTCATCCTGTTTGGAAGCTCCTCAAAGCTTCTCTTTTACTGACCTAATTGTTTGTTTAATAAAAGGTATTACCTCTTCTTACACACCTTGCTTAGCAGTTTGTAACAAATTCTTTTTTTTTTTTTAAGGTTAATTCAATAGTAATATTCTGTCAGCTATTTACCTGATTCTTAGATCTGCTTCAGAAAGAACCTAAATACTTAATAATTAAATTTTAAAATGGCCAACTTATTTCCTGTCTGCAATAACCTCATCTTTCTCTTCAGGAAGGTGGATCCCAACAAAGGTTTCCTAAAGTGTCCTAAAGAGCCAGGTGACAGTGCCATTCATAATTATTCTTCAAAAATGTTCCTATTCCTATTTGTCCTGTCTTAACCTTTTCCCTATACAAATATCTCCCACATGATCCCAGGATACTTAATTGTGCTACAAAGTTCAAGTACATCTAAATGGCTCTGAAGGTAGTGCCAGATTGAAGGAAAATGAATTAATTTGATTCCCTCTTTCCCGGCTTCTGGATATTGTATTCTTTGCACTGAGATAGAAAGGCTAATAAGGGCTGTATCACTGATGATCTTCTTCTCCTATATAACAGAAAACATGCAAGTGTTTCCATCAAACCCATGGAAAAATGGACCTTGTGAAAATCTGACCCTCTAATGCACTACTGTGATTTGCAGCTCCAATACCAAATACAGTGCTTAATCTGGAGGTATGTGATTTTTCAGAGATAAATTTCCCTCACTGATCATTCGAGGATTTCTTAACTACGTACATGTAAGAACAATTGCTGGTAGGATAGCTTTATTAATTAAAATTAAATTTAAATTAGTGCTACACTGGCAACATTTCATCATTCACATTTAATTTTCCTAATTTCTCCCTGGCTTGCATATTTTGTACGTCTTCACTATTCAAAGATTGGTTCAGCTCAAACTAATCTTAGCCCTGACTGAGCAGTGCCACACCAGTATAAGTTTATTTATTTTTAAATAGGATTAGAAATCATGGAAATTTCTTTTATTGTTGGGTAGTAGAGACATTTTGCTAATGAATTGCTGGTTTGTCTCCTTTTACTTATGATATCACCTATCTTAACTATATTATGGATTTGGGTGACAGAGGTTAAAGCATCATAATTCACAGAATTTTAGTTTCAAGAAGGGAGTAGACAACAGTGTAATGAATTGTAAATAGATCATGTTCAACAAACATTTAGTCATAGAATTGGGAATACAAAGACGAGAGGAAAATAATTCTAGTTTAAATCAGCACTTGCTGTTGAAAATCAGTCATTCACAACAGGTTCTAAATACAGAGATATATCTCTCTAGTATTTTGTGGGGAGAGGGGAGTGAAGGGAGAATAATAAGAAGACAGCAAAAGACGCAATCATGACTGTGACCAGTTCAGTCAAAGCCCCTGTTAATCAAACAGCAGTGACCTCAAACGTTAAACTAAGAAAACACAGTTCTACAGTGAGAATCAGTCACACATCCCTACTTCAGTAAGAAAGCTTAAATATGTTAACCTGTCTTCAAAAGGTTGAAATGGAGAGCTCAGACATGAACATCAAGAACAATCAAAGAATGGGAATACTTTATGGGGAGAGAGTGGAAAAATGAAATCATCAGTCTTAGAAATAGGTAGTACAGAAAAAGAGAGAATAATATTGGGAAGGCAGATAAGCCTACTCATATTTTCTTACAGTATTGGAATTAAATTAAAAAATAGCAAATTTCAAGGCAACACCAATTTAAAAACAAACAAACAAAACAAAAAGCCACCCTTTGATATTCAGTCAAACTGTGTATGTAGATTTCATTGCTACAAGATGCTTTGCAGCGTTCAGATACTGTTCAATAAAGAAGTTGCAAAATAAAGATCATTGGAGAAGGGGATGCTTATACAGAAATTAAAGTTTTGAAATTAATACAAATCGTGGTGCTCCTTGGAATGAAACAACCTCCATTTATTGCGGGAAACTTTTAAAAGACTGTTTCTCTGCAGAAACCTAATGCAGAGTTCTTTCCAAAAACTTTCTGAAGTAAAGAGTCAAGATTGCTGTCAGATATTGGACTTGGTAAACTGCTTCTACAATCTAGTTATGAAGTTCTTCAATTTCTACCAATTGTGTGGAGTTGTAATGAAAAGTTACCCTCGAGATACCAAAATTCTTGGTGTGGAATTTAGGCTGTGGAAGAGGAAAGCTACAAGCTGCAATTTACTTTACAACAGGTCCTGCATGGAATAAAGGAAACTGTCAGCCGTTCTCTGCAGAGGAGAACTCAGACACAGGCAAATATGAGACCTTAGGTTTGGCCCTGACACCTAAGATCCTCTTCTGTGGTCTGTATACACCTCCTTGTTGCCCCAGAGCCTGGATCTTTTGGAAGTAGCTATTTAGTCAATGAGCATAATCTGATTTTTAAGACAGCAGGTGAAAACTTTTAAAAAGCAAACATTTAAAAGCAATTTTTCCATATAAAACATTACTTGTCAAAAATGGTTCTGTTGGTTGAAATTGAGTTATTCTAGTGGTGTTCTAGAATAAAGATAAAACCATAATAAGTTATAATTCCTGCACCTTCTCTGGTCTGGTAAAACTCCACTGAACCCAGCGAGGTTACACTGTCACCAGCTGCGGAATAATCAGCTCAAATCTAGCTGTGGTATAAAGCAGTTTAAATACATATGTTTCAAATATTAACGTGGCTGCAAATGCCTCATTACTTGTATGGAGCCACAGTAAACGTTAACAGTTTACGTTCAGTTTTGCTCTGACGCCTCTGCTCTGCAGTGAGAGCAGGGTAGTCACCCAGAGGGATAACCGGGCACCTGGGCTGGGATACGGGCGGCAGCACACCCTGCTCCGGCGGGCTCCTTCGAACAGAGGCTGAGGGCTGGCACTCGCCTCACTCCCTGCTCTGAGCACGTCTGCGGCTCATTTCCAAGGGACCCGGAGGAGGAGGCAGGAGACGGCTGGTGGGATCGCTCACGGCAGGTCCCCCGCCAGCGGGGCTGTCCCCGGTGCCCGGGGCTGCGGGAGGGCAGGGCGAGCCGCGGGGCTCCGGGGCGCTCTCACCTGTCGATACTTATCACGCAGAGGGTCATGATGGAGGCCGTGCAGCACATGACATCCATGGCGATGAAGACGTTGCAGAAGAGACGCCCGAAGATCCACTCGCCGCCGATAAGGTCGGTGACGCTGACGAAGGGCATGACGGCCAGGGCCACCGAGAGATCTGCCAGGGCCAGCGAGACGATGAGATAGTTGGAGGGCTGCCGCAGCTTCTTCACGAAGCAGACAGAGATTACCACCAGGCAGTTGCCGGCGATGGTCAGAAGGGTGATGAGGCAGAGCACGGCCCCGATGAGAACTTTCTCCACGTTGCCGTAGCTGAGGATTTGCTCTCCGCACTGGGAGTCGTTGGCTGGGAGAGGGCTCGCCGTGGGCAGCGCCGACGGGGCAGGAGA